CTGCCTCAGCTTCCAGAGTGCTGGGATTACAGGTGTGGACTTACGCTTTAATAGCCTAATGGTAGAGTGCTTGGCTGACACACTTCAAGCCCTAGGTTCAGTCCTAGATACTGAAGAGAGAAAGAAAAAAAGCCCATATCTGCTAACAAAGAGGATGAGCTGTTTTTGTTGTGAGGGGTGCTTTTTATGTACTGTAAGTTGCCCTGTTAAAAAATTCTTTAACAGTGAAATACTTACTGTTGCCTATCAGATACATACAAGTACTGATTATCACTGTCTCTTCATCTGACTGAAGCTGGTTTTGTTATGTTCCCTAAAGAAATGCAGGGGACAGTGCAGCAGATGCAGTGCAGGGGCATCCCTAGGTACCGCCCTTCTGTCCTGTTAGGGAAGGGGCCTCTACCTGTGAACACTGAGTGACTTACAGTGTTTATGAAGGTCTGACCCAGTGCTTGCAGTCTGCCTTGTCCTTAGGCACCCTCTGGGCAAAATAAGGTAGTTCTAGGATCGATATTGATATTTGGGTCCATTTTATTGCAGTAATTTCCTTCTCCTTATTCTCAAAAAGACTGGGAAGCTGAAAGGAAGGACCCAAGGATTTCTTAGTTTAACCTACAGATAATTTCTGTGGAGTGAACTCAGCCAGATGCAAATCTGCAGACAAAACTCAGATCTGGTGAAGGTCTCATAGTATGTTGGCCATTAGCTTCCTTTTAAAATTACAGTTAAATTTAAATCCAGTTTCTCAGTCATACCAGCCACATTTTACATGTATAACAGCTGCATATGGCTGGAATCTGCAGTATTGGACAGTGCAGATTACCAAAGATTTTCATCACAGAAACAGTCTGCTAGACAGTGCTCTTCTAGAGCAGAAATAGGTTCATTTCCCTTGACTTTCTGATGGATTGGTGGTGGCTGCTTAGAGAACTAGGTAAAGAATGTGCCAAGGTTACATTCAAACCAGGCCCAAGTTGTTGGATTAGCAGCGCTAGCGCTGGACTGAGAGGTAGGAGCAGCAGTTGTAAGTGTCTAAACAAAACCGTAGAATAACGATAGAGCATTTCAAATCCAGAGACAGGTTGCTTTCGTTTGGTAGAGACAAAAGCGTTTGTTGGTTTTTAGCAGAAAACTGTTGGAAAGAAAAGTGAGAAGCCTGTGAAGTTGTCCCATTCCTTATACAGCCTCTCATTTAAGGGTGATCACTTTTACTGTTTCTGCAAATAAGTTAACAACTGCACTTTGCTTTTGTACATAAAGAAATCACAGTGGCTGGCAATTTTTGGTTTATCCATAAAATAAGGAATGATGTTATGAGTGAGCAAAACCTACCAAAATAGTCCAAAACTAGTTGCATGTGAAGCTACTTTTTAAACTAAGAAACAAAACTGATTAAGTTGAATTTTTTGCTCTTTCGTTTTGTTTTTTGGTTTTCTGATGAAGGGTAAGAAGAGAGAAACCAAATTTAAGTCAAAAAATGAAAAGTTGGGTTAGGGTTAGGGTTAGTTTATGGATCCTTGTATAATCTTTCCTTTTAGTATTTGAGATCTATGTCTACTGACATTCTTAAAAAATCTCTAGTAATTAAGAATAAATAGAATTTTCCTCTCTACATCCAAACCAGAAAATGGATTTTAGAATACAAGTACAAGTTTTATGACTGATACCTGACTTAGTAAACTACTTCCCATAATCTCTCTGAGCTTAGTTTTATCATCTTTAAAATGGGACTTAACAGTATCTACCTGTATAAATAGTGGGCAAGGAGTAAGGGAATATCAAACCCAGCATGTCAACTATTTGAACTCAAATGTTAGATATTATTTAGAAAGACTGCCACGTGCGCTTGGGAGACAAACACTGTTCTGCTCATGGCTTTGCCACCCTGCATGTGACCTTCATCTATCGTTTAGCCTCTCTAAACTTCAGTTTCCTCTTTGATAAAATGAGGGTAACAATAGAACTGATTTCAAAGGCATTGCTGAGTGGTAAACGAGATCATGCACATGAATAAACGCAGGCATCTAGCACAGAGTATATAGTGAGCGTTCAGTAAGTGTTAACTGTTAGGATTAAATGCTGAGTTATATTGGGGCTGTCCTGCCAAAAGATAGATTACCAGATTTGTTCACTCCTCTCTATACAATAATTTCCCAACTATGCCATTCATACCAAATGCATGTTTATTATTCTACTGCTATTTCACTGTAAATTATTATTAAGCCTCTTGTATTACGTTTTTGGCACAACTGTTAGCCATCGTAAAGATCTTTCTCACTTTGTCGTCTCTATAAGAAGCAAGTTCATACCTAATTTAAAAGACCTGATGTTCAAGTCAACAGAGCAGAAAAAACAAAAAAGAAAGAACAGACCAGAAGTGGGAAGGATCTGTGTGGGGTCTGAGAGCCTTCAGTCCTCCAGGGAGCCTGTGTCACTTTCTTAGGGCCTGACTTGTGTTACCCCTCTAGACAAAGTCCTTCAAAGAGATGTTTCTTCCCTTTCTTTTAGTCAGTCTATGTCTTTTTTCTGCTTCTGGGGCCTGCAGAAAGCAGGGGTGATCTAAGCCATGGTTGGCTCATGAGACCTCTGCTAAAGCCTAGGCCTCCTGGAAGGCACAGCTAGAGTGTCCCTCACCCCAGGTGGCACAACCCAGAGCCTGCTTGTGACCTGAGGGAAACAGATTTCCATCCAAGAAAACGACCCGGAGTTCTTTGGTGGGAAGACACAAACTAAGGGCTGTTTTCACTTCTGGGCTTCTGTAAGTGGGAAGGCAACACTGTACAACTGGCAAAAATTACTTTTTTCAGACTTTTCAGATTGTTTTAAAATTGGGAATTTATTCCTTTGTAAATGTCAAATTATTAGGTACTTAGACATTTTATAGGAGGACATTTTCTTTGGTGTTATCTGCCTGGTGTCTGCTGGCTTAAATCATTGTTTGCTGATGGCGCATGCTCAGATCCCTGTGTTCAACTTCATGCCTTCGATCTTGATGTCTTTCCTGGACATCTTATATTGATGTGTATCTCACAACCATCCTTTCTTCTCTGATTTCACCACCACTGCCCAGGATCTAAGCTTATCACCTTGTTCAGTAAACAGTGATGACCCAGTAAAGAACACAGCTAGTCTGAATTTAGGGGTTTTGGGAGGGGCCTCCTGGAGTAACTTCATAGAAGGTTTTGAGTCAGGTTTATTGAACTGGGCCTTTCATGGATAATATGAGGAGGGTTTAGTGGGACAGGCTTAGGTGGAGTGAGGCGAAGGTGTGAACCTGGGGGAGAGCGAATAATGATGTAGCCATAGCAATGACTGTTGCGACATAGCAGGTGGGGTGGGTGTGCCATGTCCTAGCAAAGCAGGCATTGTTTCCTGGTTCAGGTGGTTAGAGGAGGGGCAGACAAGGTCAGACCCATCACATCTCATACCTGCATTTGTCATAGCAACTTAAAAATAGTTTGGATTATGAAAGTAATATGTGCCTAGTATGATTCGGAGACTTTGATAAAGATAAGAAAATAAGGTACCACTGAGAAATAGATGCTATATATTGTAGATTTTTATTCCCAATCTCTTAAGAGGTGGCCCCCTCCCGTGTATGTATATGGAAGTACATTAAGGAAATGTGGGTCTACTCTGTATAGTTTCATATTGATTTTTGCTATCATAGTTTTTTTCTCACACTATTGGCATGATCCTACATCACTAACAAGTATTTTTTTTTAATTAATGGATAATGTTTTCTAACATGGAGTAGAGAAACTTTTATTTAACAATATTTTTAGCCATTTAACTCTCCTTTTTCAGTAAGAACAATGCTTTTCAGTGTCTGCTCACAGTGAAGGCTAGTGAGAAAGAGCATGGGCTTCGGAGCTGCAAAGACTGTGGCTCGAATCCTGCTTCAGCCATGTGTCCCTGGTCCTCAATATAAAATAAAGATTATAATAGTCCTTCTACCAGACTTGTGTTAATTTACTTGAGATGGAGCCAGGCATGGTGGCGCATGCCTGTAATCCCAGTACTTGGCAGGCTGAGGCAGGAGAATTGCTATGAGTTTGAGGCCAGCCTGGGCTGCATAGTTAGTTCAAGGCCAGCTTTAACTACATATTGAAACCCTGTCTCAAAAATTTAAAAAAATTTACATGAGATGTGTGTAATGTACACTAATTTACATAGAACTTGGCACCTAGTAAGTTTGAATAAACATTAGCTGCTATTTAATAACCTCTGTCATTAATCATCTGTGTTTCTCACATTGCTCCTAGAAACCAGATTGTACCATCAAAGTGTATGAATGTTATACTTTACTCACATATTGCCAAGTCAATTGACTGATTCTACCAATTTATACTCACATAAGTAGTATAAAAACATATCCAGCCTCACCCCTTTTCCTTATTAGAGTCTGTCTTTTTTCTTATTGTACAGAAATGTGACATAAAAATCGTATCCTGTATCCTGCACTTCTCTGTAATTTGCAATTTTTTGTGTAACTTAGATTTACCAGTAAAAAATTTTAAATGTTCAATTGTGCAACCATAGTCCTTCTTTATAAAGGATTGAAGTCAGTTCTCGTTTTTATGAGCTATACATCTTTTTTCTTTCTAAACCACTGAGTTCTTTGTATATCATAAAAATTATTTGTAGCTAAAGTTCACTGAACCTTAGAACTTTCAGATGAGGAAACATGCAGTCTAGTTTTGTATACTCCCTGGCCCAGAGGACATCTCAGTGAATCCTTGGTTTTGATTCATCTTTGTTTTTTGCCTCAACTAGCGTTCTGTGCCTTGCACGCAGGAGCAGAATAAGTACTTGCTAACGTATGCGGACGGTGCCCCCAACCCCTGCTGCCCCTGCACTGAAGTCAGTGTTTCCTGCTTGCTCTTGTCACCACCTCTGCCTCCACTGTGATGAGCTTTACTTGATTGTCCCCATATGATTTCCATGACACTTACCTAAAACTCTGTAAAATCAGGTTATCTCCCTTGCTTCATTTCTAGGTAGCAAACCTGAACTTGGCAAGTGGGGCCATAAACAGGAGCAGTACGTCAACTCCCCCTACCCTGCGACGTGTCATCAGTCCCAGTGGTCCAACGTGGTCAATACAGCCCGACCCCCACGCCCCCGAAAACCACTCCAGCCCCCCTGGAAGCAGGTACGTGAAGGGCCCTGGAGCTGGCGTGTTGGTTGCACAGGAAGGCCCCAGGCCCGCGCTGAGCCATTCCCACCTCAAGCTCGCTCCAGGGGCAGAGTCAGGCAGAGTCACCCAGCACTGGAGTGGAGGGCCTCGTTCTGTCTGTAAAACAGCTGTGGGGGGAGTGAAATGAAAAGGAAATCTCTGATATATTTAAGAAAATCATGCGCGGGTTGATACTGTGTTTAATCCTTGTTTCCAGTCAACATTCTCATGTACTGAATTTTGACATTTTGTCCTTGCTTCCCAGTTCTTCTTTATACTTTTGAAGACCATATTTGTGGGACTTTTGTTTGCTTTTTTCCTGTTTCCTTTGTTTTTTTTTTTAACACCACTGAGGAGTGAACCCTGGACTTTCACACCGAGCTATATCCCCAGCCTTGTTTCTTTATTTTTTAATTCTCAAGCAGGATGCCTTAGTCACTTTCTCATCGCAGACAAAATATCCAGCACCCACAATTTAAAGGAGGAGAGGTTTATTTTGGCTAATGGTTTGTAAGCACTTCAGTCTGTAGTTGGCTGGCTGCAAGGCCAGAGGGGTGTGGTGGAGGGTCTGTGGAGCACAGCTGCTCATGTCATTGGAGCCAGGAAGCTTAGAGCAAAGGGAGGAGCTAGGGGGTGAGAGCCATCCTTTCCCGTCATGCGCTCAGTGAACTGCTGCTCCAGTGAACAGCACCTTCAGCTATGGATTATCAGAGGATTAAGCCCCTGAGTGTAGGTGCCCCATGAGCCAGTCATCTTCCAAAAGCCCAGTCTCTGAATACATGAGCCTCGGGGAGACACTGTAGATGTAAACCATAATGTAGGGTCTCCCTGAGTCACTAAATTACCAATGTGAGCATGCGTGATTTTCCTGGCTCAGCCTCTCAGAATGCTATAGGCACACACCACTATGCCTGGCTGCCAAATTTATTTTTTTGTTTGTTTTAACCTAGGTTCACAATTAAACTCAAACAGCCTCATTGGGAAATCTCATTTGGGTACAGGAAGGAAATTTCCTCTGTGTAGCTGGGGGAAGGGATAAAGGACAAAAATCCAGATAAATTCTGGCCATAAACAACTTCTAAATTTAAAAAGAAGCTACTATCTTGAATTCTGGTCTTCTATATTTTAAGTTTTTGTGTATTAAAAATATAAGCAATGGGTTTAGTTCCCAACACATCTTGCTTTAGCGGTTATTCAGTATAGATTAAGTTTGATCGGTCCCTGAGTCAAGTGAGTTAAAGAAATGTAACTGTCACAGTAGGTCTCCTGGCCACTGAGATCCAGTCCTTCCAAGTAAAGAAGCTCTGCCATAGTGTCCCAGCAAGTCCCTGTCCCTGTGCCTGTCCTTCCAGCCTCTGCCTCTTTCCTGCCGCTGTGCTCTGCCATGTTCTTGGCAGACTAAAGCCCTGGGCCTGGAGGAAATAATACCTCATTGTTGTTAAGGTATCTGTTGGCATCAGAGTTACTACTTTAGGAACTCCTTGGGAATCAGAAACTCTGCCCAAGAAGCATTATAAACATAAGCATTGTGTCATCCTCCAGTATGACATCTTTTGAACCCATGATCATTGTGGTTGGGGTGAAAAGAATCATCTCAGTTGAGAATTATGGAACGTTGGGGACCAAAATGCAGGCCTTTTTGAAACAGGACATCCTCCACACAGTAGTTCTCACAAGAGAAGTCTGTTTGGAGATTTATGATCTACAGTGCAACCACATTCCTGAAACATAAGTTGTAAAAAAGAAATTCTGTTTATACCATAGAGCTTTATTTTCCATATAAAATGTTTGTACATATTCCATTTTCATGTTAAAATTAGGATCTTGTTCCTTTGGAGAACATTCTCACTGCAGTCTTGGATAGGCATTCCCACACTGTAAACAACATGTCAGAAGTACACATTTTGGAAAGGTAGAGGAAAGAATGTTGCATACTTTGTGCTTATAGACACATGATGGCAGAAAGTTTTAATAAAAATTATGACTGGGTTTAGAGCTTTCTCTCATAGCACCTGTTAGCAGTGGGATAGGAGTCACCTGGATGGATCTGTGGAGGTCAGAGCTCAGACCTAGAGGGCAGCACCATGAATGGCGTTCTCCCAGACTTTCGGTGGAGCTGCGTTGTAATGGCGCATTGTACATTTTAATTCAGAGCCACCGCAGCCAAAAGGCACCTTCACTCGTCCTTTTTCACTCCATTCTGCCCGCAGGAGTCCTTGTTTTGCTTCCTCTTCAAGTATAAGGGCCAGTTATATGGGCCCATTCCAGGCCAGGGTGGCCCTGGGAAATCTGCCACTGTCCCCAGGCAACCTCCAGTTGCCAGGATAGCTGGAGAGTCAGCTTGGCAGTTCCAGTTCCACGCGGAATTCCCAGAGGTATCCACCCTAAAACAGCCCACAGTGAATTGTCAAGATCTGTCCAGAGCTGGCTGTGCATGGTACTGGCTCCTTATTTCCATTTTCATACAGCAGGTTTTGTGGGTATCTATTTAGTCTCCTGTTCCTCCTTGGCATTAAGAGTGACTAAGTTTAATGAATATGGTATCCAGAGCTTAAGAGACGTGAGTTTTGTTACAGATTTTGACACTAAGTGACCCTAAACTATTCAATGTAATCTTTTTATTCAGTGAGCCCACTTAGATATAAACGGGCCTGTTTCGAGAGCTTTTAGGTGGCTTTTAAAGCACTTTGATCTCCCTGAAGTGGGGGCTAGGTAAATAAAAGGTACTCTGACTCGTTTTTCTACACTAGCAACGGTGGATTGCAGTCCTCACCAAACTGGAGGCTGCCCTGTAAACTGGAATGAGATGTAAAGAGAATCCTCACTGCTGCTGTGCTTTTCGTCTCTGCGAGTCGGAGAATTCAGTGACTTGGTAGCCACAGGAATGAAAACTGGTAACTCACAAGAACTCTGCAAACAGTGTTATTTTTCATTTCCCTGTGGTGTTGCTATTGTTCTCAATTTTATGGATCACACAAGTTTTCACCAGACAACCTTGTTCTCTCCCCCCTCCACACCACCCTTTAGAAACCATTCCAAATGCAGCCTCAGGGCTGTCGTCTCCCATTGGGTCAGTGTGAGCTCAGCCCAGCTCCTCAAATCCCCTGGTTCCTTTGGTCTGTCTGGAGTCCCTGCTCAGGCTTTGTTGTGGGAGAGGAAGGCAAAGAGCCCATGACTTGCCCAGACAGTCTGAGGCCTGGCCATGCAGCTTGCAGTTCCCTAGACGCTCTGGAGTTGGACTTGGCCAGCCATTCTGCTGTTGTTACTTTTCAGAGGTAATAAGTGAGATTAATTGCAGGCCATTCTCCAGAAGAGAGAGTAGTTGGGGCCAAATGCAGTCACATGTTTAGGAGCCTGAGGTGTGCCTCCAAGCAAGGCCAGCTAACAGTTATACAACAGGGACTCCAGAATGCAGGTACCACTCATTTATGACCTCTTTTTCCTGCAGGTTGTGTTTCCTGTCTCTAGATGCTGATATCTGGGTATTTCAACTATTGTCCAGCCAATGGGGAAAGGTTGGACTTTTCAAGCTGCCTTTTAATTGTCTACTTTCTGGGCACACGGGGAGTCATTAGGAGCTGAGAGTTGATTTGCAAAGGCATCTCCTCATTACTGCCAGCCTGCTGTGGAGCTGTGCCATGGCAGGGAGGAGGATTTTCTAGGTGAGCAGCATTCACTGGGTTCAGAGTGCATTTTTCCTTGGAGACCTGGAAGGGTTACTGTAAAGTCTTGGCTGCTAGTTGGAATGATTTGGGAAGGACAGGGCCTCAGACAGCTTGGCAGGAACCTGAGGCCCTGTTTTCTTCCAGTCCAGCCCTTCCTTGTGGATGGAGCTGTCAGGGAATCCCACGAATGTCTGGCTTCTGTACCCTCGTATGTTTTTCCAGCATTTGTCATTGAATTATTTTTATCCATCTCTGGTTTTTTCACACACGCATCCTGGAGATTTGTCTGTTCCTCGATATTAAAAGTAGGGGAAGTTGACAAAAGAACACAGCCGTGAGTTTGTTCCTACTTGTGATAGGACAAGATATACACATGGACTGCTTGTCTGGCCAGCACCCACTTGCTAGGGAACGTCTGTGTGTCAGAACTTTGAAGTCTACCGAGGAATGGAATGGCTTAGAAATTCTCATCATTTTTTATGCCACCTTGTCTTTTTGCCCTTTTACTCTACAGTAGTAGATCATAAAGAGCCTGATATTTAGGAACATGTTTTTTAGGGATCTGATTCCAGTTTACCTAATATTCCTCTCCAGTTAGATTATTTCTTACATACATTGTAGGAGATTCAGGACCTCTCGTTTCTCATCTTTTCACTGTCATTCAGTCCTTAGGAACACTGGGTGTGTTCATTTAAAAAAATGTTCTGTGCATATTTTACAAGTCAAGCATTGTGATAGATGCTGGGAAGTTGCAGTAAATAAGACAGAATAGTCCCTGATCACTCAGGTGTGCTATTGCTGAACCTTTCATGTTCTCAGCACAAGGTAGAGGGTAAAAAGCATTTCACTGTGAGGTTAGCATCTGGCATACAGAAGGAGCCATACAGACCTGAAACAAATACAACAGCGTTTGCCAGCATATAACAAAGATCAGATTTTATGTTACAGCCAATTAGAATATCAAATCCTTAAGAATTTGATCTTGTCACATGATATGCTACTGCTCTTGTCACAGATAAGCTATGAGGATCACAGAATGAGTAAAATGAAAGGCAAATACCATATGAGTTACTTGTTTGAAATATCTAAACTAGTAAGGATTGTGGAAACAGCAGAAAGGTGGTTGCCAAAGGCAAAGAGGACGGGGGATTCAGTGTTTAATGGCTGTAGCATTTTAGTTTTACAAGATGAAAATGTTGTATAGATTTGTTGTGGAACAATGTGAATGTACTTAACAGTCCTACACTATGCTTATAAAAGTGGTTAAAATGGTAAATAGAGATGATGTGCTTTTTACTATAATAAAAGAGT